TTATTTAGCGTTTCTTTCCAATTTTATTTAGTTATTAGTATGTTGTTGTTTTTTAAACCAATATTATAATATTGTAACCCTAGTAACCAACTGCTTTTCTTAATATATCGTCCAAAGCTATGTATGTACTTATTTTATTACTTAGATTATAGGTATATTTGTATTGTAATATATCATCTGGCCAGGATATATTGTCTATTGTTATGAACAATATTGTTATTCTTAAGGGACCTAATCACAGAATAAAGATGATATTCTATTCTAACTTAAGTGCAAATATAACATTATGTTTAATATGTACATTCTTACTTTCCTACCTATACTAGTTGAGGAAAATATTTCGATCGCGTCAAATTTCCAATATACGGTTTTCGACGGATCTATACGTTTCAGAACCCCGTGAGTTCGAAAAACACGCTTTAAGCCACAGTTCTGTTTGTCTGTCTGTCTGTGCCAAGATTTTCTCGGGAACTACTGAACCGATTTTGTTGCTTCTTTTTTTATTTTGTAGAGTTTTGACTACTGATGCCTGTGATAGAAATTCGGTGCTCCAAACACAATAAATGAAAATCATGTTTTTCTATAGTCTGTAGCGCGAAAACGGCTCTAACGATTTTGATGAAACTTTACTATAATGTTCTAATAATTGTCCTTTCAATTTTCGTATATGAACTAAATTCGCGAGTAAATTAAGAAAAAAAAAGTTATAAATAAAAGAAAAATATTTTGGGACTTAACTCGATTATACGGTAAAATTTATAATGAAACTTTTGAAACATAATTAAATTATCAACAAAACAAAAAATAAAAGGATCGGAATCGAACCAGTATTAGCGATGATACAGCTTATTCTATTTTCTACACATGTTTTAATTTATTACTTTCCTAAATATACTAGGTAAGGAAAGTATAGGGATCGGATCAGATTTCCGATATGCGGTTTACAACGGATCTATACGTTTCAGAGCCCCCTGAATCACATAACACCGTTTAGCCCGTTTTTTTTTAAAAGGTAATTCCATACAAAACTATATAAAAATAGTTTATTTTAGACTTCTATTAACGAAGTTACAGCTATTCGATTTCCAATGTAAGATTACGGGTTCATATCATGGTGTCAGAAAGGGATGAATGAGAGAAAAAAGATGACTAAGTGATAGTAAGAAAATCTGTTGCCCGCATCACACAATCTTTACTATTTCCTCTACTTTTAACAGAAATTATTGTTTGACAATACTAAGCTATGGCAAAAAGTTTTTGATCAGCAACATTAGTGAGTATTACACTGATCTACCCTAAGCCTGTTTACATTGCTTTAGTTTATCAAATAAATCGTACTCAAATCTTTTCTTTGATCAATTTTCATGAAAATAAATGTAATTCAATTTTTTTTTCTTTCTTTATGAACATATGTAAAGATATAAAAACTTTTCTGAAATAAGTAGGAAAGTCGTGTGAGTGTGAGGACACACCTGATTTTTTATAATGAAATTTTATTTTTTGTATACATTTTTAATGCATTACCAATAATAATTGTTTATTTAATAGAAACTATATGCAATGCTTTGAAGTAGCAAAAATAGTTCTTCATAAATTATAGTAATTTTAGCTTGTATTTGAGAAAGAAGCTAAGTTGAATACCAACATTTTTGTTGAAAGGTCAGTTATTACGTTAGCAAGCCTCACTACAATAATTACTCTCCCATCTCTACAACGATTAACAACATTTTTTCTCTGATAGTGATCACATTCTTCCCGCACTTGTTTCGATATTATTTCTCTTCATCACTGCCTCAATTTCCCAACAGCAAGCAAGCGCAGGTCCTCGAACCCACACTGGAGCCACGGTCTACTTGCTGGACAGCTGTAGTGTTTCTACAGCTCTTTCATAATTACGGTAACATATTAATAGTCTCTAATTAAAGCGGTACATCCTTACGTTACCACGTAGCAGGTACATACTGTACTTAAAGTACACTCTAAAACGAATTACGTTGGATTACATCTAACCACTTACGAACCTTTCAGTTGAAAGAATGACTGACTAAAATTTCAATATTTTAGAGTAAAGTGGTTATAGTGACATTTCTAGTATGAAAATTTATAATATTTGTATATACAGTGAGTCAGTAGATTTTAGGGAATTTGATTGCTGTGTTGAAATATAGAGTTGTGAATAAAAATATAAATTTTCACACTAGAAATATCACTAAAATTAATAATAAAAAATTGTGGGTTGATTGTCGTGATCAGTCAGAAATAAAAAGGCAAAAATAAGTAATAATATTTATTTTAAGAAATAAATAATAATAACCATTACAAAGTGTGGAATGTTGAAGTAAACATAATCAAAAAAAGGATATATTGTAAAAAGTATTTTGTTAGTTGACCCACTGTTTTTCCTACATTATATTTTTTTTTTCTAAACCGGTTTAGTATCTAGATTAAAGATTTTCGGGATAAACAAAAAAATTTCAAGGTCTATAGGGCATTATTTTAAAGAAATTTCGATGTCTTCAATATTATATGAGCCTTTCAGTTGACAGAATGACTAACTCCCATTTCAATTTTTTTTTATTATTGAAGAGAAGGATGGTTGTAGTGATCAGTCAGAAATAAAAAGGCAAAAATAAATAATAATATTTATTTTAACACTTGCCGATGTTTCGACCTGAAGTTCAGGCCTTCATCAGGGCTAAGAAAAGAACCAGATAACAAGGTATGAGAAACATGAGTAATGTAGGTAAAGAAATTAAAGTAAAATGAAGTTGGTAGAATAATGAAAATATTAAGAACTAAGAGATAAATAATAATAACCGTTACAAAGTGTGGAATGATGAAGTAAACATAATAAAAAAAAGGGACATAAGTATTTAAATGGGAATCTTAGAATAAAATGTAAAACAGAAAAAAAAAAAGGAATATGAAGTTATATAAGAAATGAAAATAAATAGTAATAGTAAGATATTGCAATTTAATTTTTTATCTAACTATTCTATTTGCAATATCTTAATTTTACTATTTATTTTCATTTCTTATATAACTTCATATTCCTTTTTTTTTCTGTTTTACATTTTATTCTAAGATTCCCATTTTAATACTTATATCAACTTTTTTTATTATGTTTACTTCATCATTCCACACATTGTAACGGTTATTATTATTTATCTCTTAGTTCTTAATATTGTAATTATTCTACCAACTTCATTTTACTTTAATTTTTTAACCTACATTACTCATGTTTCTCATACCTTGTTATCTGGTTCTTTTCTTAGCCCTGATGAAGGCCTGAACTTCAGGTCGAAACATCAGCAATGTTACAATAAATATTATTATTTATTTTTGCCTTTTTATTTCTGACTGATCACCCCAACCATAATTCTCTTCAATAATAAAAAAAAAATTGAAATGGGAGTTAGTCATTCTGTCAATTGAAAGGCTCATATAATATTGGCGAAATTTCTTTAAAATAATGCTCTGTTGTCCTTGAAATTTTTTTGTTTATCCCGAAAATCTTTAATCTAGATACTAAACCGGTTTAGAAAAAAATAATATATATGGCAGAAAGCTATAATATGGGAAAAACAATGGGTCAACTGACATATTTTTTATAATATATTCTAAAAGGAGATAATTTTCTTCTTTTTTTTTCCTGAAAAGCTGTATGATATTATTTTATTTTTTGACAATGACAACTTCCAAATAAATAACAATTGTTTTATTTGTTGAATTTAAATGTTAATGTTTCGGGAAATATACTTCCATCTTCAGAACTTACCATATTTTCTTATCGATTTAAGCCTATAAGTCTGATGAGCTCCTTTGTCATGTTTTAAATTTATGTTATAGATAAATTACAGTATATAATGTCCAGAACATCAACATTCCTATTAAACAATAATTGGATGTCTGCTATGAGGGTTATTACTGACCTTTGACAAGCCTTTGTAAATTTCCCGAAACGTTAACATGTAAATTCAACAAATAAAACAATTTTTGTATATTTGGAAGTTATCATTGCCAAAAAACAGAGAGATATTTTTTTAAAGTAATAGAATAAATACTCGTTTTAACATTTAAAAAAAAACTTCGATACGAATTTTTATAACAATCGAAAAATTACAATTTTTTGTACGATGATTTTTAAAAATTATTAGGTATTTAGGGCTCAGTAGACTAAAATAAATGGTACGGATGGTTCATAAACAAGTTAAAATTAGAAGTTTTTCATGAATTTTAGGTTAAAAAAAGGAATTAAATCAAAAGCTATTGATTTGGGTTGCAAGAACAGTAATTTAGCTTTCCAATGGTTGTACTGAATTTGATTTTGGAGAAAATCCTAAGGGGTTATAAATACATATATATTTATTATGTAAACCTTGACCACAATTTCGATCTTGTAAAAAAATAATATTTTTTAAATATTTTCTTGTTAAATGAAATTTACAACTGTTTTAAAAATAAATTACAAATATTATATGAAAAAGAATAAAAATAATGATATGAACAGACTTATCGAAAGAATGCTAGTAGTCCCAACGAAAACAAAATAAAAACACCGTAATATGGCAGTGTTGTTTTAGAAATATTCATAGTTCTTAGATGAAATAATTTGAATATTTTCATAAAATTTACTAAAGCTTTGAAATTTAATGTATTGCATTAAAAGAACAGCCTTTTTAAAGTCAATTTAATATAACAGCCATCTTATAAACAATTTATTAAGCAAATATAAATAACTTTAGACAATAATCTATTCAGGAAGCAGTGATAACCGAATAAATGAGTATATATTTATAATATAGAGGGCTGACATCTGGTGGTAGGAGAGCTCGTTCGTGCGAATCTCCTGCCTAAATCGAATCTATTGTTCTCCATATTGGATCTTAATTAACTCCCCTTTCTTTCGGTAAATTATCGAGTCTCAATTATATTAATTAATCTAAACTGCTATTGCAACAGTATAATATATTGTTGAAAAGGTTAATGCGTGTTACGTACTTTCTTACTCAACTGATAGTTACCACCGATTATTTTTCATCTACACAATAATTAATTGGCAGCGGGGTAGTTCATTGAGAAAGACACTTTGCTCATATTCTTCGGGATTCGGGTTAGATTCCGGATGTGGCAAATAATTATTTATTCTATTCAGGTAATCGACCCTGAAGTCCAAGAGAATTTTTCATGGAGCACACATCCTCTAGAAAGAGGGCACTCCTAATTTGTTATGTTCTTACTAATAAATATTTAAAAAAAATAATGATTATAGTTTAATGAAAGAATATAATAACCATACATTAATCATATATAATTGCAATTTACTCGTATGTAAAGCACAAAAAATAAAAATTTCTTATAAATACAAAAAACTCGGCATTAACATATAAATATAAAAATAAATTCGTACAAGACTACATTTTAACAATTACACAACTGTCTCTATTTAATATTATTCGATGCTCAAATTATATAACTATAATTTACATGTATTCAATAGAACATATTGTATTATTTTTATCAAATTAAAATAAACGGAACGAAACAACGGTAACAACTACATAATAGAGAGATAACATAGATAAAACAGTTTAAAAAATCTGGAATTTATTTATAAAAGTAAAATTTGTATTCTTAAGCAAAAGTTTTGTATTTTATTTATCAAAGTCGTACAGCCAGAGAATTTTCGTATGAACGTCGATACTCTGATTGACTCTTATAATTATCAGCTGATTTTTATTGAACAGCTGTGCTGTAAAAGTCCTTGAACATTCTCTAAAAGATTTAAAATTAATATTCTATAAAAATAAATTGTTTTTCAAAACCTGAAATTAATTATGAAAAATTATTTCATTTTTATTGATTGTTATGTATATACCACTATAGAGGTATGTTTCATTAAAAAATACATCAAATTAATTGCATTTAATTCACCATTCTATGTTTTACTGTTCACTAATGATAACATGTACATGATACATGTACGTTCCATCTTATTACCAATTTATATTATTATAAAATTATAATTATTATTATTGTCAATTTTTAATCAGAATAAGGAAGAAATAATTCTGGGAATAAGAAGTTTGCGTCTTCGTTACGGTCCGTTTCGATTTGTATATAAAAAATAAAATATTACACGGTCGTATATAAAAACTTTGCTATATAATAGAGAGATAGCAGAGATAAAACAACTAAACAAATCTAGAATTAAGGAAGAAAACTAGACGACTGAGCATGATCTCATTCAAATCATCTCCTTCCACAATCGTTGTGAACAAGAACACAGTTTTTATGCTCAGCAAAGGAACTATTGTTCCCTTTGCTGTGTATAAAAAACATACTGTTTGTAAACATACCAAATCAAACAATATACCGTTTGTATATATCATTAAATAAACAAAACTTGAAAATTAGCATAAAATCGTTTCCAAATTTCTCAAGTTATCATTATACTCGTTGTCATATTTTATAATCTAAACTCCCCTAATGGATTTGTTCTTTAGTATCTTAGTATTTTCTAACTTCATGAATAAATGTATCATAGTCCTAAAAATGTGTAGTTATTAAGGAGAACTAGAGATACATAAAAATATTTTTTTTTTTTTCCATTTAGTTAGTATATCCTAAAACCAATAACTCAAACAAGATTTCAAAATTTGTGGTAATTTTAATTTTTTTTTCACTAATGGGTATTTTGAAAGGAACACCATTCGACGCAGTAGCTATTTACAACTACTTACAGAGATCCATTACTGGAAAGAAGTTTGGAAAGTGTCCGTAGCAGTCGTCCTTCCATTCCACAGCCTTATAGACCACTTACCTGTAATTGGAAAAACGAGTCATTAGTGAACAGTAAAACATAGAATGATGAATTAAATGCAATTAATTTGATGTATTTTTTTAATGAAACATACCTCAATAAAAGTATAAAGATAACAATCAATAAAAATTTAATAATTTTTCATAATTAATTTCAGGTTTTGAAAAGAAAAATTATTTTAAATCTTTTAAAGAATGTTCAAGAACTTTTTTAGCACAGCTGTTCAATTAAAATCAGCTGATAATTATAAGAGTCGATCAGAGTATCGACATTCATATGAAAATTCTCTATAAATAAATTACAAAACTTTTGCTTTATAATACAAATTATATTTTTATAAATAAATTCTAGATTTTTTTAAACTGTTTTATCTATGTTATCTCTCTATTATATAGCAAAGTTTTTATTTTGTAATAAAATCGTGTAATATTTTATTTTACATATACAAAGCGAGACGGACCGTAACGAAGAGACCAACTTCTTATTCCCAGAATTATTTCTTCCTTATTATGATTGAAAATAAGAATAATTATAATTTTATAATAATATAAATTGGCAACAAGGTGCAATGTACAATATATATTTTTAAAAAATTAAAAATTTGTCCGAACCGTGGTTTCCTTCAGTTTATTTTAATTTGATAAAAATAATACAATATGTTCTACTGAATACATTTAAATTACAGTAATATAATTTGAGCAACGAATAATACAATTAAATGGACAGTTGTGTAATTTTTAAAATGTAAGCTTGTCCGCCTGTTTAGCTTAACGCCGAGTTTATTATATTTATTTTTAATGGTTTATATACGAATAAATTGCAGTTATATCTACTTTGATCAATGTATGGTTATTATATTCTTTCATTAAACAATAATCATTAGTTTTAAAACAGTTATTAGTAAGAAAATAATAAATTAAAACGTTTTCTTCATTTTTTAATTTAGTGATATTTTTTACTGGCATTTATTTCAGTTACATATTGCTTCATATCAAACTTCAGCCAAGCCGTAATATTTTATTTTCATCGGATTTTAATAATGATATGAACATTTAACCTTTTAAACATTTTGGTTTTTGTTTTTAATGTTTACAAAATGTTACCCAATAGGTTTAACAATATGTCTATTTTTATTTGTTTAAACTCATTTTGTACGGTAAATTAAATTAATTTTCCTTTTTGACTCATTAGCTCAAAATAACAAAAAATAATTTTTTTTTTTTAAATATCTGATAAACTAATAAGCAAAGCTGTGATATATTTGACTAACAAACAAAGCAATATATCTATACTGTATTTGTACGACTTTCCAAGGGACAAAGCTACGAAAATTCGTTTTTGCCAAGCGAAAACATTGGTCAAGTAAAATTACTTTTGCCTTTATTCTGAATAACCTTTTAAAATGGCTGTTGCCACTAAAAGTATATATAATTTTAAATTAAAAATACAGGATTCCTCCATTAAAAGCGGGCATATCGTTAAAAACTATAAATAAATGAATAAAAAAATATGTACGTGAGACCAGATTCAAAATAAAAAAGACCTATTCCAACGAAGATAAAATTACCTGGTAAAAAGTATGAAGAAGAGAGAATAAGTAAAGTAAACAAGTGTTACGATATAAGAAAACTAACCCCTAATAACGGTAACCTGATAATATTAAGAAGGCAGTGTATTGCTGTATCATCGCTGCCCATGTATCTTCCACAGCTTCCTATATCCCAACAGCAAGTTTCTCAAGAAGATTACACATTTCTTATACGGAATATGTTATTTTTTGATATTTCTTTTATCCTAACATCGTACAGGGTTCCCAAACATTGGGTTTCTTGCTTATTGTATACAATTTTTGTAATCCCATGTTCGTTCATATTTGGTTGAATTTTCTTGTAACACGCATTTCCTGATTCAGTACAACTCCCTCTCCCAATCCATCCACATCAAAAATACAAACAAACAATAACAATTAATCAATTAATGATGGTCGCTACTCTATCACTATTATCACGGGCGGATCTACGGGGGGGGGGGGGGGCTTTCGGGCTGAAGCCCTCCCCAAAATGATAAAATATAACCATGTTTTATCGGAAAAAATACTAAAAAATTATCTCTTAAAGTATAATTATTCGTGTAATTACATTTAAAAGGGCTTTAGGAATCACTTAAACACCAGTTCGTATAGGTACTTAGTTTCTTTCGTATTTTCCAAAGTAATTATCGTTACTTTTATGAAAAAAAAAAGCTTTCGGGCTGAAGCCCCCCCAAAATTAAATCCTGGATCCGCTAGTGACTATTATTAGTGTCCTTGAATGTGACAGAATGTAATATTTCTTAATAAAGAATTGATGAATGACCAAAAAAAGAAATAATAATGATAAGATAAGAACATGAGAGAGAAGTAATTGGAGTATTATATTAAAATGGTAGGGTATAAATACTAACGGTATAAATATTATTATATTTCGTCTGCTCTTCTCGCTACGCTTGCGCAAACATATTTCCGTGATTCCTTTTTTTTTTTTATCTACGAAAATTCTCAGGCGTTTTCTCAAGTAGCACTAAAAATTCATAAATACCCATTTGCTTTCATTTGAATCGTAAGATAAATTAATTACTAAATCGAGAAAATAGGTGGCCTACTAACATATTGGTCCGCTAGGCCTATATAACCTCATTGTACATTTGACATGTTGTGAGTAGAGGTCATACTAAAGGGCCCAATATTTCAGTAGGCCACTTTTTTTTTCTCGATTTTGTTATCAAATTATCTAACGATTCAAATGGAGAGCAAATGAGTGTTCAGGAGTTTTTACTTCCTTATTAAATAGAAAACGTTTATGGATCTCCAGGTTGAAAACGAACCAATTCCGAGAGGTTTTATAAATAGTTGTAGGTTAAGAAAAGATGGATGGGGCCTGTACTACGAACTACTATAACTGTTTTAAAAATTTAATAATTACAGTTTTATGAAAGAAAATAATAACCAAGTATTAATCAAAGTAGATATAATTACACTTTATTCGTCTATAAAGAACCTAAAATTAAATAGAACATATTAATATGAAAGATAAAATTTTTTAACCTCACATTTTCATGAAGGAACCTTAGATTTTATTCTGAAAACCACAAAAGTTGTGATAACTTCGTCATGGTTCTACACAAAAATTAGCATGCATTTAGGTCTCTATAATGTTCACAAAACGGCACAAACCAGAGTTCTGTAAATAAATTGGGCTTGGAGATTAAAAATAAAAACGTGATTGGAATTTTTCTTTATTTGTATGAGTGCTTTAAATATAAACATTTTTAAAATGATTTTCAAGAAAATAACCGCTTTCAAAGGCCATGAACATTGATTTATGAGAAAATCCTAAGGAGTTATGAATTATTTAGTGAATGACAGGGAAAAACCATCCCAATAGAAAATAAATTGGTTTCCATGGCGACCCATCGTTGTTGCCCAAATACGAGACCAAGACTCCATCTTGGTCTTACACACTCAGTTTTGGTCTTAGTCTCGTAACAGTCTTGCAGTAAACTATTAGCTTATTAGTATAAAGATATTACTGTACTTTTTTTAGATAGAAGAAACATAAACTAAGCCCGAATGGAGAATTAGAAGAGTTAAATAGAAAAGTATTTAATTAGGAACTACAATGCCTTAATTTTTATTCGAAAAATCGATTTTTTTTTCCAGTATTGGTCTTGGTATTGCAGCAGTTAGGTGGTCTAGCAAATTGCAAGACCAAGACGGATTTTGGGGAACATTACCCATCATCTATCTATCTCTTTATCTATATAAATAATAACATAGAAAAAACAGTGGTTAAACAAATCTAGACTATATTTATTTTATAATAAATAAACTGCAGACTGTAAAGTATAATTTTGCATACCTACTTAAGCAAAGGTTATGTACGATTTAAGTTGTTGATCAAACTTACACAACTATGAGAATGTGATACAAACGACCAAACTCTGATTGGCTATTGTAATTATCAGCTGATTTTTATTGAACAGCTGTACTCATTATCGAAAATAAAAAAAGTTGTATATGCATATATAGATATATAGATATAAGATATATATATATATACATATAGTTATATATATATGGTTAGGTGAAAATTTAAAGTTTAATAATTTGATAAAAAGGAGTCAGTACTGGGGACTATAGTTACATACGAAACAGAATTGACTTTAAATACCACTTCTCTTTATCATATATATATTTTTTTTCCATGATTAATATTGTTATTTATTTAATGAAATTTACAACTGTACAAACAATAAAACTAGTAAAAATGCAAACATTAGAAAACATGACATGAACAGACTTGAAGAGATACTGCCCAGTGGTAGCACTCCCTATTTAATTCTATGTAAGAAGATCACGTGCCATCTTCTTTCAGACGCTAGGGGATTATCAGGAATCGTAGGAAGAAGCAAGGCTGGAAACAAGTGGATTCGGATGGGACTGGAGTTTATCATGAAAGGATAGGTATTGGCTCGGCTAAATCAGCGATATATAAGGTCTTTATGAATGGTTTATTTGTGACAAAATATGTGGCATTAAGGATTTTGGATGTAAGGATGGATTCGATGGTTTGGTAGAGCCCCAAAGCACAACTCCTTATAGGTCTTATTATGGTTAAGTAGGTGATTCTTTTGTAATTAATCGGAAGTTTATAGAGTTTGTCTAGTAAGTGTTGGAGCAGTCGGAAACAACGAGCAGTTTCTTGTCGTTTCAGTCTAGTATGCGTATTCCAAGTGAGACGTTTATCCAAGTGGAGTCCTAGATAGCGGAATTGTTCTACAGGAATTATTATATTTTAAAAATATTTATGTGTAAGCACAGTTTTTGTGTAATAAATAAACATGAGATTTATACAGATTGAACTAAGCTTTCCAATCTCCTATAACTTTCGGTATTTCAAAGCGTTCCATAGAGCTGGTGTCTTCTAGCAAGTGGCAACATCCTGACATGAATGACACCTCCAGCCGATCTCTCGTGGCAACTCTCTTCAGAAGAATGACGGTTCCAGAGTACGAACTCTCTCCTCCACACATTACACTCCAGGAAGCTAGGTCCCGCTGAGACATCAAACAACTGGCGAGAAACTTTTTGACCAACTGTGCGTTGTTACGTAACACGAAAAGATTTCTTTCACATTAAAAAAAAAATCTCAGACATAGACTGTGTCAAGTAAAGTAGGCGAAGTGATAACATTGAGCGATTATATGGCACGAGGTTATTTAAACCTATTTATTTTCCTCTTATATTCTTAACAGTTTTACGGAGTTTCGAATTTTCATTTTATAGAATATAGCTAAAAAATCCCAATAATACAAACGCAAGTTTACCAATCAAAAATATTACGACTGATAACGAAATAATCTGTGATATAGTTAACTATTTCGCCATCGTTATAAAATATAGTTGATTTTAAAGTATTTATTATAAGTTATTAATTTAATTCGCAATTTACATTTATTGTTGATTGGATTGCTACCAATGGGTAGTTTCTCCTCATGTTGTACATGTCATATTACTTGTTCATATTTGCTTGTTGTATTTATTATTAATTACAGTTGTAAATTTCGTTAATAAAAAAAAAAAAACATTTATTGTTCTAATTTTTTTTTTTTTTTTTTGGTATTTGTATTATTGGGTAGTTTCCCCACAAGTCTGTTCATGCCATTACTCTTGGTTTGCTCATATTTACTAGGGTAAAACACCAATATCTGACATTCTCTTCGAACAATAGGAATAATAATATTTCAGGAGCTCCTAGACCTCTATATTTTTTTTTCTTTCTATATTTTCATCTTTTATATTTGTTTGGTTTGCTTTAGTCTTTCCAAAAATATCAACCTAACTCGCTAAGTATATATTATACGGTAAAATTTATAATAAGAGTTTTGAAAAGGTAATTAAATTACCAACAAAACAAAAAAAAAAATATCGGAATCGGACCAGTATTAGCGATGATACAGCTTATTCTATTTTCTACACATGTTTTAACTTATTACTTTTTATTATTACTATACTACGTAAGGAAAGTATTGCGATCGGATCAAATTTCCGATATGCGGTTTTCGATGGATCTATACGTTTCAGAGCCTCCTGAGTCCGAAAAACACATTTTTAGCCATTGGTCTGTCTATCTATCTGTCTGTCTGGCAAAAAGTTTTTGATCAGCAATATTAGAGACTATTGAAATTTTTACACTGATCTACCTTAAGGAAAATAAATCTAACTCAATTTTTTTTTGGTTTCTTCATGAACATATGTGAAGATATAAAAACGTTTCTGAAATAGGTAGGAAAGTCGTGTGAGTGGACACACCAGATCCGTTTTTAATTTATCTTGATGAAGGAATTTGATATTTAATGGGTGTCAGATACTTGAGCCTTATAATAGGGACTTTGTCAGTAGTTTACAGGTCTGTACTTTCATAAATTCAAAGAGATATACTCAATTTAACGGGTCTTAAAATGGGACCATTCACTTTTGTCTCGTTAAAAAAAAGTGCTAATAATTTGAATTAAACTTAAAGCCAAAAAAAGGTTCTTGACAGTGACCAGCATTTATTCATAAATTTAAGTTGGAAAACGAAAATAATTAATAGTAATTTTTGTTAATCTTATAATGAAGAATATGAAATTTCCTTAAGTAACATAGTTGTTCTCGTACCTGTCAGCTATAGGAACATTTCAAATAAAACAGTGTCAGCCATTGGTACAACAAAACTAGTCTCTTAATTTTCAAATTTTTTTATTTAAATGAATGTTTTATGGATTTGAAATATACCTTGATAAGGTAAGAAGTAGTTTCATAAGATGAATCCATCAGGCATACGATAACATTATTATTTAAGTTTTTACACGTAAAAGTTTAAAATTTCCTAAAACATTTCAACTACTGGTGTATTTACTCTAGTTGTATTTATTTAATACAGTTGTAAATTTCAAAATATAAAAAAATATATATATTTTTTATATTTAGCCGCATTTGTTAAAGTAGTAATTTCACCAGCTGTTCTTTTTTAGTGGTGTTTAGTCAGCTGTTCTATATCTGCCACTTTTCCAATTGCCACCAAATTTAATGCCAGTGTTTAGAAATAAACTGTCTCACTGTTATGACAATACTACTACTATGTAATTGCACGTTTAAAGTATATTAGAAGTCTTTAAATTAAAAATAAAATTATAGTCCTAATACATAGTTAGATATAACAGTCAGACTTACAGTCATGACAGCTTCCTTATTCACTACATTTTTACAGCTCCTCACAACTTACATAACTCAACTTTAAAACGTTTTCATGATGTTTATACGTAATGCATCATTTATATATTATAAGTATTGAATACAAAAGGTGGCATGTATAATTGATGTAATGGTGGTGACAAAGAACTGATATTAAGGGACTTTCAGAGGAAAAAAAAGAAGTTATATAACTCACTTTGCTAAGGCTTCTGTTATCAGTAAATCCTACTTTAAGCACTTGTTTGGTTTTAATTTTCTATCTATACTCTATATTCTATGGTTATATACGTAGAAGGTAATTTATATATATAATAGCATATTTTATTTAAATTTCACTTAATTGAATAAAAACAAGGTTAATTAAAAAAAAATTAAAGTGATTTTTAAAAAATGAAAATAGTGACAGTATTTTAAGTTTTCGAATTATTTTGTGCAAAAATAATAGAAGGAGATGGTCCGATGTGGCGGTCATAAATAAGCTAAATAGTAGCAAAACTATTTTATTAAAAACCAACGTTTCGATCCGACTTTGCAGGTCTTCTTCAGGGCTAGAACGGACAAGATACAAAAAGATAGAGAATTGTGGAAGTTACATAATATTTAGACAAAAAATTATAAACAATGTGAATAAGCTTATTAAAATTATAAGCAGTAAGTACTTTAAAATATAAACAGAGTAAGCTAAGTAACAAGATTCTAAACTGAAGTAAATAGATGATAACAATTGTTGTAGTGTCAATATATATAATATATAATATATGCTAATGTGAATATATTTCTACAGACCTACTGGAGAGATTGAAAGAAAAGGAAAAAGGAAATAATAGACATAGAAAAAGGAAATTAGAAATAATATCAGGATAAGGGTAGGTAGATAGTATAGGGGAACTGCTAAGTAGGGTCGAAACGTTGGCTTTTAATAAAATAGTTTTGCCACTATTTAGCCTATTTATGACCGCCACCCCGGACCATCTCCTTTCTTTATAATGCAACGGTCAACTATTAAATATTCAATTTATAATTGTTTGAAACTGATCAAACACTGATTACGATCTATCGAATCAATTATCTAATTATTTAGCGTTCATATATTCCGTTCACTATGTAAATATCCTAAATGCAAGTGCTAAAATTTAAATATACTTTTCCCAATCCTTTTTCGCTTCAGTTCACATTTTGAACAGACTGCTCAACACTTAAAAACTATTAAACTTTCACAAAAAATAAGTTTACAAAATTATATAAACAATAAATTACACATACAGAAAAGTAAAAATAAACGAATACCTATTTCTAGAATTATAATAATGAATTATTTATCAGAAGCTAGAAATTTTAACATTTTTTATTCCAACGCATTATAATGTGATGAATTTTACGACTAAAATACAATCTTCTTACTTAATTTTTTCAACTAGGTTTCGGAGTTGACAAAATGTTTTGATCAGAACATGTAATGAAATTGGAACTTCTATTTTTTATTAAGTTTCAATACGACTGTTCATAATCATAATTTTTTTTTTCTGTTATTTGGAACTAGAATTTTTCTTTTATACTTTTTCCAATAAAGGTTTCACAGAAATTTTCTATTGAAGCAATTTGTTTGGCCAAAAAATCGAACTAAAATGACTGGTAATAAGAGGTAATCACAAAACTTAATCACCAGAATAAAGTAATTAATTTAAGGGAAATTATAACTGTAATTAAGGCCCAATCATAGTTTAATTCTAATTTCACAAAATTTTCGTTGAGAACTTATTGTTAGATAAATGTAATACTTTTACTATAAAACAAGAAATTTATTACATAACAGTACTTTAGCAATTTTATTTTTCAACCCTTGATTTTAATTTTGGATGATATTTAGAAATAATTATGAACAAAAAAATAATTTATATAAGATTTAGGGGTCTTGAATTCGAAAATTTGTCATTTTTTAAGTCAGTTAGATTAAAAATAAAAAATTAAAACTTTCAAGTTTATTAGTTATTTCTTGAGTATAGAATACCAAGACACAACTTTCATCAGCCGAAAATAGCATTATTTTAAGAATGATAAATATTCAGTACGCAGTCTTTTTTTTATTTTTATTTAAGCCAATGTTTCAACCCAAACATGTGAGTCATCTTCAGGACTGATTTTTTTTTTTAAAATACAATCAGAGATATAATATTATACGACCGATAATGGTTAATAATAAACTATAGTGATTGATGGTACATGAATCTTAATTAATACTGCAATGCACATATCTCTGATTGTATTAAAAAAAAAAATTTCCAGCCCTGAAGATGACCCACATGTTTGGGTTGAAATGTTAGTATAAATAAAATATTAAATTAAAAAAAAAAAAAGGCTGCATCCTGAATATTTATCACCCATGATATGTAGCACAGTCGACTAACTTTCTTCAATAACTCCTTATTTTAAGATTTCAATTTGTACATCATAATATCGATATATTATCGAAATGATTCTAATTTCACAAAATTTTTGTTATGAACTTATTGTTAGATAAATGTAATACTTTTACTATAAAACAAGAAATTTATTACAAAACAGTACTTTAGGATTTTTAGTTTTCAACCCCTGATTTTAATTTTGAATGCTATTTAGAAATAATTATGAACAAAAAAATAATTTATATAAGATTTAGGGGTCTTGAATTCGAAAATTTGTCATTTTTTAAGTCAGTTATATTAAAAATAAAAAATTAAAACTTTCAAGTTTATTTGTTTTTTCTTGAGTATAAAATACCAAGCCACAACTTTCATCAGCCGAAAATAGCATTATTTTAAGGGTGATAAATATTCAGGACGCAGTCTTTTTTTTATTTAAGCCAATGTTTCAACCCAAACATGTGAGTCATCTTCAGGACTGAATTTTTTTTTTAAACTACAA